GGCTGCGGTCAGATTTACGCTCTTGGGCTGCAGTCCACCATTTGGTTGCGATCAAACGTTTCCACATGAGCTGCGGTTCATACTTTCCTGGCTGCGGTCAGATGACATTCTCTTGGGCTGCGGTCCACTGTTTGGTTGCGATCAAACATTATGATGAGCTGCGGTTCATCGGTCGGTTGCGATCGATCCCTCCGTGTTGCGATACGGGGCAGGGTGCTGCGGGGCCGTGTCAGAGCTATATGCGTTGACCCTCATGTATGGGCATGCGATTGATCCTGTGGCGCCAACAAAGTGTGCTATGTGTTGAGATATGGATGAGTTGTGATTAAGAGTATCTTGGGGGTTGTGACTATGGGATTTATGTTGGGGATTGTTTACGTTGGGTTATGATTATTATTGGTGCTCAGCTTTGTCTGTCTTGCCTGTTGTGGATTGTATAAGCTTGTTATAACTGTTGCTTGTGTCTAGCCTTATCTGTCGAGTCATCCCCGGATTTAAAAGCTAGAGTTCGTAGGATATATCTTCATGCTCAAAATGGTTTTCGTATATCTATATATATATATATATATATATATATATATATATATATATATATATATATATATATATATATATATCTCTATATGTATTGTATTTCAACGCGTTGGAGTGGGTTACCAGCACCTCTCGCTGAACAGATATATTTGGCTTTTAGGCACAGAAGAATAAGTCACTGGAGCGCGCTAGAACTTGGAACGTAGAAGTAGATAGCTTCCCTCTTGGCCTGCGTGCCATGCTTATGCATTTACATTATTGAGGATATTAGTTAGTTAGCCTGTGCACCTGAGTTCTCTAGCTCAGGTGTGGCATAGCACCCCGTACTCTTGTATTATGTTTTGGGATTTAATGAGATTTCACCCTTATTTTATAAGTCTTAAATGTCTTGAAAATCTGGGGTGTTACAGAATTGCTGCGAGAAAAGTTCTATATGGCAGAGAAAAATTTTCACAATTTATATAATGTGCTAAAGGATAGGGAGTACCTGAGGGTGACTGTGGAAACGGTGTGATGGAGGATGAACTTTTAGCAACAGTAGAATTAATAACATAGTCGCGCAACCACACTGAAGGAACTTTATTTCTCATACCCCGACCCATCTCAACATTCGGATCCTGGTTATTTGGAGCAAGAGTGCTAGTGTGTTGTTCAGGTTGTGAGCTGAATTCGGGTATGGAGTTTGACTCTGGTTGAGAGATTGGCTCGGGTGTGGAGCTTGGCTCAAGTTGAGGGTTTGGCTCGTTTGTGGAGCTGGGCTCGGCTTCTTCAACAATTACAGAAAAATCTTCGTGAACAAATTCTTCATGAGGATTGGTAGTCATATCTGTGAGGGGAAATGGAAAAACATCCTCAAAAAATTTCACATCGCGGGAAACAAAAAATTCTTTGGTGTCAAGATCAAACAACTTCCAACCCTTTTTCCCAAATGGATATCCCACAAAGATGCACTTTCGACTCTTGCTAGCAAATATATCTCCTTTTGCTTTTTGATTGTGGGCAAAGCAGAGACACCCAAAAACACGAATTGTGTTGTAAGATGGAGGACTACCAAAAAGAATTTCATAAGGAGTTTTGTTACCAAGCAACGGTGTTGGTGTCCAATTTATAAGATGTGTGGCCGCAAGAACACATTCTCCCCAAAAATAAATTGGCAAATTGGCTTGGAATCTCAAAGCTCTCGCTACATTGAGAATATGTTTATGTTTCCGCAAAACCCTACCATTTTGTTGAGGAGTTCCCACACAGGAAGTTTGAAATAGAATTCCAGTATCAGAAAAAAAATACGCAAGCAATTGAATTCAGTACCGTTGTCACTCTGAACGACTTTGATTGATTGAGAGAATTGTCTATCAATTATAGCCACAAAACACAAGAACATTTTAAAAACCTCAGTTTTATCCATCATCAAATAAATCCAAACTGCTCGCGAATAATCATATATTATAGTCAAGAAATAACGTGCACCACAAGAGGATTGATATTTGTAAGGACCCCACAAATCACAATGTATTTTCTCAAATATTCGAGATGCTCTGTTATTACTCAAAGGAAACTTATCTCTAGGTTGCTTAGCACGAAAACAAACCTCACAAGCTTTATTAAAATTTCCCACAGCAGTGCCAACAGACGGAAGTAGTTTTACCACTTTTTCAGATGGATGACCCATTCGTTGATGCCAAAGATTGACTGAACTTGTCACACCATTTACTGTAGGATGTTGCACTGAATCGATTCCCTTGAAGTAGTAAAGTCCATCCCGTCTAACACCCGTTCCAATCAGTTCCCCCGATTGGTCCTGTATAGCACACATATAAGAGTTAAAGTGGACATTGCTATGCATATCATCATTTAACTAAGAAACAGAAATAAGATTGCAACTTAAAGACGGAACATAAAGGACATGATTAAGAACAATTTTGTCTGTTAATCGAACCGAGCCTTCTCGAGTTTCAACCACTGTTTTTTCGTTGGGTAAACCAACAGGGCAATGAAATATATCTTTTGCATCAGTCATTCGAGTGGAATCACCAGTAACGTGACGAAAAGCCCCTGTGTCAATTATCCACAGCCGTGGATCAAATTTACCATTCAATTGATCATCAAAAATTGGTGTACCACTAATCAGCCCTGTTAATGCCTGTGGCTGCTCGTCGTCAGCCATTGATGAGTTTATGCGTAGGTATAAACCTTAGCTCTGATACCATGTAGAATACAAATAAACAAGAAGAAGAGGAAAAACTAATATATTGTGTGTTGTGTCAACTTCAATACAAACACTTGTATATATAGTGCTAACAAGATGATGAAAAATAAATACAAATGAGAAAACAAAGAGACACATGGAAAACCCAAGTGACACATGGAAAACCCAAGAGACATATAGAAAACTCAAGAGACACATGACTATTAATATAGATGATTAATATCATCAAATATCTCAACAATTATCCCCATCAGTGTTGCAAAAATCGCGGTTAGGCGCCGATTAATTGGCGCTTAGGCGCTAGGCAGCCCCCAGACGCCGCGAGGAAGGCCGGAATCGGCCTCCTCCACGGCCGGCCGGCCGGTTCGGCCGATTAAATTTTTATTTTATTTTATTTTATTTTATTAAGGTTTAGGGTTTAAAACTTTGTCGAGGCATAAATTTTGACTCGGTTGTCCGTTTGGGACAAAATTTTTTTTTCCAATTGCGTATTTTTTCGAGATCTATACAACCACTTTTTTTTTAGGCCTTTGGCGGTTTGCCCCACTAATTTCTCAAAAAAAATGCTTATTTAGCTCTTAATTTTAGTTTTTTTTTTTATGTATTTAGACGGTTTAAACAATCTTTTAAACAATTTTACAACCACTTATGTAAATAGTTTGTAAGAAATAACTATGGGAACCTTATGTTTTATAAGTGAATTTTGATAATTTTTAATTTTTAATTTTTTTTTATTAAAAAAAATATAATAATAATAAATCGGCGCCTAGGCGCCCCCTCGGCGCCTAGGGGGCGCCTAACGTGTTTTGCAACATTGATCCCCATTGTTATTAACTAGCAAACTAGGGAATACATTTATATAAGAATAAAATTTTAAGATTCTTGGATAATTTTATAAATATAAGCGCGCAAATGAAAGGTCGAGTAAAATCAAAATTCAAGTTGTGTGTTACAACCACTTTTATTTTTCTTAAAAGCTTACTTATTACCTCCCAAAGCCCAAAGGTGTTAGGAGCGCGTTGTATCCTAAATTTCTCAAGATAAAACGGATGACATAATATTAGTTCCGCACTCAAACTAAATTGTCACGACAAATTAAACAAGAACAAGGAAGAACACATAATTTTAGAAGAGGAAGCACTAGTGGAAATTATGGAATTTCCGACCACCTAAAAGTGATCTTAAATCAAGTCGAAAGTCTTGTTCCGACCACTTTTGGTATTCGGAAAAACCTTTAATTTGTTGCTATTTTCGATTACTTTTTGGTATTAACTTGATTTAATATCACTTTCAGGTGGTCAGAAATTCCATAATTTCCAGTAGTGAAGAGTAGAGATTTGAGGATAGAGATCAGAGACAAAGTTTTGGATGAAAATAATTTTTTCATAGCGGTGTAAAACCTATGTTCAATACTACGGTATTTATAGGAGAAGTGGTCAAATTAGCTTTAAATTAATTTGATTTTAAAATCAGTTTTTAACCTCCCCATGATAGACAATTAAATCTAGAAATAATAGTTGCGGTTATGATGGTTACAACCATTAAAAATTAAAATTTTAAAATTAGAATTAAATTAAACATATAATTCATAAACTAACGTGGAATACGGCCGGCCTCTTCCTGTAGATCAGACCATGGGGAAAATTGGCAAACGAGACCAACTACGAGTCAAGTCTTTTCAATTTAAATGAGTGTATTTTGAGAATCAATTTCTCATTCATCTGTTATCGGTTTTGAGTATATAATATATTAAATTAAATTTCTTACTTCGAAAAATTCAAATTCACTTTGACCTGACCTCAATCGAAAATGTATCCCACTCAAAAATTTGCTTGAAAATGGTCATTTTGCATGTCAATAAAAAACTAATTTTCCAACACTAATACATAATGTATTTCCTTCTCTAAAGAAGAGTAACACTACCTATGAAATCACTGTAAATATTGTCTCATTTATTTTATGCACTTTATTTTGTGCATGTTATGTCCATGTCTTAAACTTCAGACATCGTTGATGAGAGTGGCTATCTGAAAATAGTATTTACTGTATATTGATAATAACAATACAACCAAATGATAAATAACTCAGAGACAATAAGAGTCCTACTAGGAGTATATGACTAGAGTCCTAATACACACCCACAAGTTCAAGATGAGAGAGACACAATATTGAGCTTGTCACGCAGAAACTCAAATCGCAGAGCCAGCAGTGATTTGGTGAAGATATCAACCAGCTGGTCTTTGTTGGAGATCAGATAAAGCTAACCTGCAACTCCCCAGAAGCCACCTTGTCCCGAACAAAGTGAAAACTGAAAATTGATCTCAACGTGCTTAGTCCTCACATGAAACACGGGATTTGCACAAAGATACGCCGCACCAAGATTATCACACCACAAACGCAACGTAGCACCTAGAGAAAAACCAATCTCACGTAACAGCGACACAATCCAAGTAACCTTCACCGAAACATCTGCAAGGGCCTTGTACTCAGCCTCAGTAGAAGACCGAGCAACCGTTTTTTGCTTGTGACAGACCCACAACACTAGATTCGAACCACAAAACACCGCAAAACCACTAGTGGACTTCCTGTCAATAGAACAACCAACCCAGTCCGAATCCAAAACGGCATGAAAATCAGTAGATGAAGAAGCAGTCAATCGCAGCCCAAAGTCTACCGTAGCCTTGACATAGCGCAAGACGCGCTTCAGAAGCTTCCAATGATCAATTGTAGGAGAATGCATGAACAGACACAGACGATTTACCGCATAAGACAAATCTGGACGAGTAACAGTAAGATACTGCAAGGCACCTGCCAAAGTGCGATACTGATTGGGATTGTCATACAGCTCATCAGAAGACTCAGCCTGAGAAACCGAGGCTGGAGTAGTAAGCGGCTTGCAATCAGACATGCTAGCCCGCTTCAAAATGTCCCCCATGTACTTGCACTAAGAAAGAACAAGACCCCATGTCTATAGGAACAGTCTCGATACCACGAAAAAACTACGGTGACCCCAGGTCACAGATCTTAAACGCAGACAAGAGCTGAGCAAGAAAAGTATCCAGTACAGCAGTATCATTACTCATCAAAATTATATCATCGACATAAGCAAGTAAAAACACCCTGGAGTCCCTCACCGAATAGTAAAACAATGAAACATAAGTTTTAGAGGACTGGAAACCCACAGAAATAAGAAAATCATGCAACCGTTTGAACCACGCCTGAGGGGCCTGTTTCAACCCATATAAAGACCGTTGTAAAAGACACACAGAGTCAGGAGAAACCAAATCAGAATACCCGGCGGCTAACGCATGTACATGGTTTCAGACAACCGACCATTCAGAAACGCATTGTGAACGTCCAGCAGACGCAAAACCCAACCACGAGAAAGAGCTAAGGAAAGCAAAAGACGTACCAGGATAGGTTTGACTACCGGACTAAACGTATCAAAGAAGTCTTCACCAGGGACTTGATTAAAATCCTTAGCCACCAATTGGGCTTTATAGCGCTCAACAGAACCGTTGGCCTTGCGCTTGGTTCAGAATGACTAGAGTCCTAATATCCTTGACTTCCAACAAGCAATTCTCAAGTAAATAAATTTGTGTACATCTTTGAACCTTTTAATGTGCCACTCAATAAATATCAGATTCTAATCCTTAAGTACCAAATCTTCCACTGTAACTCATAACCCTCTTGACTTATGTTATGCCCATTCCACCATTTGGTCATCCCTCAATAGGTATGCCCATGGTTCAGTTTCGATTCTGAATTGGCGATTTCTGGTTTCGGAATTGGTTCGAACCAAAACCTTGTATATAGGTTTTACATTTGGTACCGGTTTGAACAGATTTTTATTTTTTATTTTTTGTAATTTTTAAAAAATTATCCAAATTTAATAATTAAATTTTATTTTAAAAATCTTCAATTCAAAACTATTTTTAAAATGGTTATATGAAATATTTAAACTTCAAAGTTAAACAAAAAAAAAAAAAAAAAAAAGACAATTGTTCTAGTTAAACTTTAAAATGTTATTTAAACTTTAAACTGTAATCAAATACGGAGTAATAGTTAAACTTTAATTAAATAATAATTAATAATTAATTTTGTTTATTTTTTCAGTTTGAATTGGAACCGGGTCTGTTTACTAACAGAAAACTGTTCTTTGTTTTATTTTTTCTACTTATTCAATTTTCATTCTCTGTTTTTCATTATATGTTTTCTGTTTAGAAAACTTGTTTACTAACACTTATTTTTTCAAATATATTTATATTTAGATTAACGTTATAAAATTAATACAAATTTAATTTCGAGTGATTTTTAGATCTTATATTTAAAATATTTTTACATATGTTTGGTTTAAATGGAATAAATTTATTTTTATTTTTACTTTTGAGTCTAATATATGCAAGATTTTTACATTTTATAACTGAACAGAATTTATATCTGTATATAACATAATAACTAAAAAAAAATATCCGAACCAATAACCTACTAAGTTCACATAAATTTTAGTTTAGATAATATTAATATTATTTGAGCTAATATTTAAAATATTTTTTGGATATATTCATTTGAATGACATGTACATGAATACTAGTTTTTTTACGCGCATTGCACGATTGGGATAATGCCCAATATATTTTTTTAATAAGTACTTTAAAATATATCAAGGCAAGATTATATTGGAATTGTACTGTTTATGCATGGATAATTGAATGTTGAATTTGCGTATTTAAATAAGTAATTGTAACTATTTGTACGTTTACAAATACAAGATAATATAGTCAAGATTAATTATAATTGTCAATAAAATAATTGTATAGGTATGGTTGAAACCAAATACGGGACATCAGGGAGAGCAAATAAAAATTAGGGTATAAAATATTAAATATATACTAATATTGAAGAGTTAACTGTTGATTGTCAACCAATTAAGGACATTGTGAGGTAGTTTCCCACTTTAATTTGTTGTGTTATTTGAATACTCTTTTTGTCAATAAATTGCCCAAGTAGTTAATATGATTGACTTAATTATATTTTTTTAAAACAATTATTATTATTATTATTATTATTATTATTAATTATTATTATTATTATTATTATTATTATTATTATTATTATTATTATTATTATTATTATTATTATTATGTATACCCTTAGGTCATTTTACATGTTAATCTAACCAATTAATTTTTTTAAATATCTTTTTTTAATTTTTTTATGGTAATAATAAAATACTTGGTAAATAAATATATAGTATTATTTTGTATTATAATTTTGATATTTAATTAAAAAAATAGTGCACAAAAAAGATAATAGACAATGTAGTGAATATAATCAATTGATGAATTTGAATGTAAAGAATCTTTATGGTAGGGAATATCCCGACCGACATAGCTTCACCACGACCGAGAAGCCTTTGTCCTTTTCTCCTTGTCTTTGCAGGTAACAGGTCGGGCTCCACGAGAAGAACTCGGTCGTAGACCGACCGGGAGTTGCCCGAGCGACGGTGTCGACCACCGAGCGGTAGCCCTTTGGCGAAAGAGCTGACGACGGACACGTGGCGGCTCTTTACATCGACAGGCAGGGCACCCGGGAGGATGACACGTGGTGGCTACGTGGAGGACATGCCGAACGGCTGGAATCCTGTCCCCGGCATAGCGGCTATAAATACCCGCAGTAGCTACAGTGTGAGGGACTTTTGGACGATCGATAGGTTGTTGTTAGAGAATCCCGACCGCAGTCAGTCGGTACTCAGAGCAGCCAAGTAGATTGTACTTAGGGCCTTTACCGGGATCAATAAAGATTTTACTTGCTTTAATTGGTCTCGTGTTATTTTATATTGCTTACACAGAGTTAGCAGTATCATTTTGGCGCCATCTGTGGGGACCCGTGCAAGAAACCAACGTCTTGACGAGCACCCGATCACCATATCGACATGTATCCGTGGGCACACAACAACTTCGCCGACGACCAGGCGGATGCGGCGAGCTCCTCCGACCACTATGCTACCCAACAGCAGGGTCAGACAATGGACCTCAACCTCAATCTCTCACCACCACATCCGTCGAATACATACCCGGCCGCCCAGCAGCCGGTGAATTACATACAACCGGGATACCCACCACCCGGTCTGCCATACCAGCAGCAGCCGATGATGTATCCCGCCCAGTATCCGTACCCGGTCCCACCTCCACCGTACGGGTATTGGCCAGGCCAACCGATGTGCTACACTTTCCCGGTTGGTTATCCACCATATACGCCTGCCTATACAGCTCCAGCCGCCGCCCCTCCAGTACAACCGACCGCACAAGTAGAGCCGCAGCGTCAGTCCACATCCCGGGCTCGACGCTCGGCTCATTCGCGGTTGGGGTCGGGGGGTGCTGATGCGATGGACGCACCAGCTCAGGCCGTTCAAGCGGAGGACCCTGAAGAAGTTGCCCGAGCGGTAGCTTTTGATCGTCTTCGACCGGAGATGCGCCAGCGTTTGGGACCCCAAGACCCGAATCGCGGGCAAGAAGACGTACAAATGCAGGAAGCTAGCCACGAGGCTTCATCCGGATATAGCGGGTCGAGATCTCACCGACGGCGACGCGCTCGGGATACAGCCCAAGCCGCTCAAGCCGCCGAGCTCAACGAAACCCGAGGATTGCTCTACAACCTCCAGGCGGAAGTTGCGCAGCTCAGGAGTGCGTATCCTACAGCACCCCCGGCCGACCGATCGACCCTACACCAGACGCCTTTCACAGCAGCGGTAATGGCTCAGCCTTACCCGCTCGACTTAAAGGTCTCGGGAGAGAAGAGTTACGACGGTCGGACAGACCCTGAGGCTCACGTGAATGATTTCTTCAGCAATATGATGCTGAAGGGCGTTTCAGACGCCGTGATGTGCAGGGCCTTCTACTCAACGCTCACCGGTCGGGCGGCAGAATGGTTCCGAACCCTGCAGCCGGGGTCAATCGACAAATTTGAGACCCTGGCGATCAAGTTTGTACGGAAGTTCATTACTTCCAAAGTGGTGAGGAAGTCCTATATGTACCTCGAAAAGGCCAAGCAGCTCGAAGGGGAAAGCTTGACCGACTTCCTCATCAAGTGGAAGGCGGCGGTCGGGGAGGTCGAGCCCATGGATGATGCGACCGCCACTCACATGCTTCACATCTCCCTCCGGGCGGGGTACCTATACCAGGATTTTATCCTCCACCCCCCGACCACATATGAGGAGGCCCTCCGAAGGGTCACTGATTACGCCAACGCAGGTGAGGCGAATGCCGTCAAGCGCTCGCAGGAGGTCGGCTCTTCGTCTCGTAAACCGGCCAGCCGGGCGGAACATCGATCGGGAGATGACAATCCCCGACCCCGCACCAGGCATGGCGAGTTTACGGCCTTGAACCGATCCGCAGCGGAGGCCATGCAATACGCCCAGTCCTGCAATCTCATCAAACTTCCCCATCCCGATCGAGACGGCCCTGACAAGAGTAAGCATTGTGCTTACCATCGATGCGCCGGGCATGACACCGAGGAGTGTACCCACTTGCGCCAATTATTGGAAGATTTGCTCAATTTGGGAAAATTGGACAAGTGTGTGGGAAAGAGAGAAGACAGCAAGAGAAATACCGATCGGAGGGATCACAGACGATCTCATCACCGCTCTGATCGGTCGGGCCAGGACCGAAGAGACGATCGAAGGGACGATCGTCATGATGACCGACGGGACCCTGACCCTCCGTCCGGTAGCCGCCCGTCCGGAAAACCTACCATCCACGTCATTTTTGGTGGGCTGGAAGATGCTTCCCGACCGCGGACAAATTGCCCGGTCGCAGTAGTGGATTCCCGGGAGACCGGGAAGAGGCAGAAGATGGAGCCCATAACCTTCACCCTCGAGGACCAACCTACCAGCAGTGATCACGGCATGGAGGCGCTCGTGGTCACGATTGACGT